TTCAACTCCCAGAATTCCCCAGCCAGCATGCTGGCTGGGGAATTCTGGGAGGTGAAGTCCATATATCTTAAAGTTGTTGAGAAACACTGAGTTGGAGCAACTTGCCCATTTAAACATGTTTACTTACAAACAGGGCTGACCGTACACTAAGGCCGAGTAGCCACCAGCCTAGGGGCACCAAATTTTAGGGGCTGCCAAAATTGAAGAGACTTCCCAAAAACACAATTAAAAAGCAAAAAAGCAGTACTGGCGTACTCCATGATCCAGCACCCCCGCTCAGTGTTTAAATATAATTTTGCAGAATTGTTGCCATATGACAACAATGGGTGCTAATGTAATTAAAATGACTTACTGCGTAAATAGGGTGAAAATATCCAAGAAAAGGAAAAGAATTGTCCAGGGCTGAACATCATAAATGTAAAGCTCAAAAACTTGAAGAAAAAAAGAAACAAGAGAGTGCCTTTTTGAAATTCCGAACAAAATTGGAAGATGAGCCAAACCATAGGGGAAACCGGAATATGACTTTGCCTACAGATCCAAAATGTTCAGAGCCGGCCCTACTTATAAATCATCAGAGGTATCCATGGGGAGGGGGGGAGGTAAAAAAAAGTCAAGATGGGGGCCATACCCACACAATCAAAGCCCTACCCTTGTGCCACACAAGTTAAAAGGGGGTGGGATTTTGATCATACCGTTACTGAGTCCACCTTGGCTTTTTTGACTTCCTCCATGGAGACCCCCGCAACTCATTAATTTACCAGAAAGTTACCTTCACCTCTCTTGATTCTCCCTTCCTGCAATGTAGTTCCACTTTCTTTCCACAGTTCCTGCTTTCTTTTGTGCTTTTTCTGGGCAGGAAGGCACATTTGCAAACTTGAGCCTTGGTCTCCAACCATCCAGGATTTTTATTTTCTGAGAAAGATTATAGGGCCCATTGGCGTCAACTGCATTCTTGCAAATAAAGAGGGAAGGAGGTGTTTTGCTTAGCAGAAATCGGCTTCTTATTTAAATATACAAAAATCAGCTGACAAAGAAAATCTAGTGATTAGCAAGATAGGAATCTGTGGTGGCAGGCATGTTGGGATCTCAGGTTTATGGTGCAGCAGCTTCAAAATGGTTTACCTGAGATGGGATATTGCATGTGGAACCAAATGTTTTACCCCATGAAGCTTCCAATTCAGTGGCTTATCCAGAGGCATCTAACACCATAGTGGAAACTTTGCACTTGACTTTCCAAGAATTCATTAACAGTTTGAAGTTAAATATTTTTATGTGGCCATGTGGTTATTTTTAAATGCTTAAGTTTGTGAGTTAAATATATGGTCTGAGTGTCCCTGAATAAGGAAATAACTGGTATTTACAATGCCAGAGTGAATTCTTGAAGGTTGACGCCCAACTCATGTATAGTCCGCCTCCTCCTCAAGAAGCCATTGTTGGATCCAACAGGATGATTTTCATTCTGTCCCCAACCTTCTCTTTTAAGGGAAGATGGTTGGGAAGGTGGTTGGCTTGCAGCTCCAAAGGATCCTGGAAGATGATGATTATCTGGACCTATCTGGATTCAGGCCAGGACATAAAGACAGCATCGGTCACACTTGCTGATGACCTTTGGGGGGATCAGGATGGGGGGAGTGCATCCATCCTGGCCCTCCTTGATCTCTCAGCAGTTTTTTATACCATTGACTGTGGTATTTTTCTAGACTGGCTCAGGGGGCTGGGAGTGAGAGGCACAACATTGCAGTGGTTCTCCGCCTTCCTCCACAGCAGTTCTAGTTGGTGTTGGAAGGGGTGGTGGTCTAACCCTAGACCCCTACTTTGTGGGGTGCCTCAGGGCTCTCCCCTCTCCCCACTTTTGCTTAACCTCTACCTGAAGTCATGGAGGTGGTCATCCATTGGCATGGAAGGCAGTATCATCAGGAACAGGATGTGGATGATACTCAATTGTTATCTCTGCTCCTGGATGACCAAGTGATGCTGTCAAGGATCTATCTCAGTGCCTAGAGGTTGTGGGAGTCTTGCTAAGGATGAACCCAGCAACAATGGGAGCATGTAGGTTTTGCTCCCCATCTGTCCTTGGTCCTGGACCTGGAAACTTCCCATACTTATCTCTGGAGGGAGGGGCTGCACTCCCCTGCTCAGCATCAGTGTGCAATTTTGGGGTTCTCCTGGACTCAGCTGCTAATCAAAGTTCAGGTGGAGAAGATCAGGAGGACCTTCACACAGCTTCATCTTGTGTGCCAGTCACACCTGTTCCTGGACTGGGAAGCTCTGCTTACCGTCACTCTTGCCTTTGTCACCTCCCACTGCAATCCTTGAAAAAAGATCCAGAGGCTGCAATTGGTCCAGAATGCAGCAGTGCGGATCGCGTGGGCACAGCCTGGTATGCCCACCACTACTTTGTGAGGCACACTGGCTCCCCATAGTTTCCATGTACATTTCAAGGCGCTGGCTGTTACCTATCAACTCCTACATGGCACAGAACTGCAAGACCATTTTCCTTCACTTGTTTCCACCTGTTCCACGTGCCGTAATAGGATCCGCACACTTCAGACCTTTTCCTTAAAGCAATGTCACCTGATGTGACCTAGGAGGTGTGCCTTTTCTTTTGGAGCACCTACTTTCTGGAGTGATCCCGTGTCCCACCTCGACGTACAGTTGGTCCCAATCCCTTTAGAAAGGTTTGGTTCTTCCCCGGGCATTGGGGCCAAGATGATAGGAATTCTGACCTGGAGATGCTTATTGTGGGTTCCTGATTATTTATTAACTGTAGTAGTTAGGACTTTAACTGTATTTGTATTTTTGTTTCTTATTAATGTATGTAACCCAGAGTTACATTTCTCTAAGTCTGGTGGCTTTATCAATCTAATAAGTAAATTAAAAAATCCTCTACAGAGATTGCAAAGATGAGAGGGGAATGTGAACATTCATAGATCCTCATCAGTTTTTCAGCATATAACAATTTGTAGCTCCACCTACTAAAAATGGATTGGAGGATAAACTTACACCAGCCGTCCCCATTTATGACTCTTACATGATATGCCATGTAAGTGGGAGTGTGTGTTCACAAATCCCTGCCATGCTTATGAAGAGATTGTGCAACAGATGTCTGCAGTTTGCCCTTTTGCATGCTGTCTAGGGAATTTTGGGAGTTGAAGTCCATACATCTTAAAAGTTGCTGAGGTAGAGAAACACTGGCTTAGGATACTGCACGGCCATATTCAGATCACCAGCTCAATTCAGTTCATATTACTCTATTTTCTGGGCTCACACAATGCGCTGAAATATAAACTAACCCAAAGAACTGGGTTTACATATCAGGCAAGACTATATAAACCTAACTAAGCCTAACATATTGTGCAGATTCGGATGTGTTTTACGGCAAAAGCCTTTGACTGATGTATGTGTGTTCAATGCCACCTTTACTGAACTGGTGACCTCCAGATTTGTTAGGAGTGCTACTCACTGCCCACCTGCCCATTGGAATTCTGGGAACTGTAGTCCCAGTGCACCTATAGGGAAAAAGTACATTTGTATTATCGCTCGTGCTTGCATCAGTCATAGACTATGCATGTTCTAAAGGACTAAGTAGATTCTCCAGCCAAACGAACCTTAGGAACCATCGCTGAGAGACCCTGTGGAGAACTCAGAGACCAGCAGTCTATCTGAGTTGATTGAACTTTCTAGTTTACTGATTTTAAAGCAGCTTTCTGCTTGTGTATTTCTTTGGCTGGATTTGATTTATGCAGAGTCTGTTTCGGAAGAATATCAATCTGTGCGGCACAGTTAATATAATCCTCCAGTTGCCCCCTTAAAATGTGAGTTTCCAGACTGCCTAAGTGTCCTAACGTGTCTCTTTTAAATTTATTGCAGGAAGCTAAGCTACGCGAGGAATAGCAAGACATTTGGGACTACTTGAAATATACCAGCTAGCTGATGGCAGTGTCAACAACTAGCTAGTATCTTCATTAAGGTTTTAGAATAAAATGGGAGGTGATGAAAAGGCACATCTTCTGTTATGAAAGGTTCGCAAGCACCAAGGTGCATTCTACAAACAGAGATTTGAGAGGCTGTTCACATTTGCAGAAAGCAACATGGAAGCCGTGGACAGCTCTATTTTCAGCCCTGCATTCTCCCCAGAAAGATTGCAAAGGAATAGCTGACATGCCTGCTGCTAAAGATATTTCCCATATGATGTGGTTTTGAGATATGCTGCCTTTTTCAGGATGGGGAAACAGTTGGTGCTCAGTAAGACATAAACGCTGTTTGGAGGGGCTTTTAACCATCTGAGGCTGGGCTGCATAATCCTCCTTTTCAACCCACTTCCTACAATAGTGGCCACGCTCCCCCTTACTTGCCCTACTTCCATGCACATTTGCACTAGTTTTGCTCTTTTAGAGGTGCAACTAGGGTGCACGTCCAGGGAACCACAGCCAGAAGGGGCAGAAACTGCTCCCCACACACGTATCCAGAGCAGCAAACGATTTGTGGAAGCAGTAAACAGGCATCAGTACCAGGTGCAATTCAGGCTAGCCCTGGTTACATTTTTATTTTAAAATGTATTTTATAGCATTGGCATTAGCAGCTAGCTGGACATGCGCATTGCTAAAGATGCTGACTTTTGGGAGGGGGGAGATAAAAAAACTTATTTCCAAATAAGACACACACCTGTCTAAATGTGGAACTGTCCAATTATTAAGGATCCAAAGTTACTTAGCTGCCTTACATAGGATGGGACATCCAGTGACAGCCTAATGCACTGAACAGTAAAAAGGAAAAAATGGGCAAACACTGAATAGTGGATCTTTAGGGCAGGGGTGGGCAGAAATATTGGCTTGGATTTTACTTGCATAGCACATCCTATGTAGGTACGTTGGATACAAACAGGTAGAGTGGATGGTCCAAGTGAGGTGTCTAAAAGGGAAAGGGGAAAAAAGTGCCCAACAAGTCAGAAATAATGTGACATTCAGCACTTCCAAATGGCCACAGTTGATGGGAGTTTTAAAAGAGGTTTGGAGAGTGCCAGGTCGCAGGAGGTCTTGTGGGTTGATTTCCAGAGATTGAATCAAAGCAAAATAAACTATTACACAACCATTTAACCACACCCATTCCATGACTTTGGTTTTCTGATACAAGTTTCCCCAACCCTTTCTCCTTTCTATGCCAGCATATCACTCAGAAGTGAAAGGAGGGTACCTAAAGTAGAGGGGGAATTCACATCCATTTGTCCACCAGAGAGCTAGGCTTTTGTATTTTAAGTATATACGGTTGAAAACATCCCACATGTCGAAATAGGGTGGGGTTTTTCCCCCCATTGTGAGCCTTTTCTGTGAGATTGGCTTCATTCTCCAGTAGCTGCCTCAAACAGGTATTTTTCACGGAAAAATTATAAGGTAGTTATTTTCATGGAAGGCAGCTAAGTTGGCATAGGAATGAATATTGAAAAAAACTCACCTTTAGAGTAGCAACTTCTTGTGATGGTACGAAAGAGTTAGAAGAAATATCAAGGGGTGGGGGTGGAAATTGGATATTCAAAAGGAGAGAAAATCATCAAGAGGAAAGATGTCAGAAAGGGGGCGCATGTAAATAAAAGCAAGGAGCTCTCGCCCTGAAAAATCCCTCTGAAAAACCACATGTATTAAATGCATAAACTTACTGTATTATCCCACATATCACAAAGTGAATTATTTGAAGAAGCAATGCATCGGTCAGGGGCACTGCTGGCATACAAGGCGCTCTTGTGCGTAAAAACAATGTTTAAAATATTCCAGCTGCGCACATGCGCAGTGTTAAAAAGAGTTCTGAATATTCTAGCTGCGTGCATGCACTGTTAAAAACAATTGTTTGCCTTGCTACTGGCACCCTCCCTTACGTGGTGCCCAAGTTCCATAGGGGGTTGTGGTAGCCTGGTATCAGCGATTTGACAAATTTTTCCCTTCAAAAAGCATCTTCTGCACCAATTTGTCTTCTGAGGAACACTTGAAATGGCCTGTGATAATACCTTGTATGTGATAATAAACTGATTGGTCTTTAAGATACCATTAAGATTCCTGGTTTTTTTTCCTTGCGAAAGACTAACACAGCTGCCTCTTGGGAAACTTGAATTCCTAGTTGTACAATCCCTACTGGCTTGCTGGATACATTCTAGGAACCAAACTATATATTTGATACCAATGGGGACTTTTTATTTTAGGCATGAGGGGTACAGGGGGAATTTGATCCAATCGCGCTGGGGGGAGAGAGAAAAAACTTTTCCCAGGCATTCCAAGCTAGATGCCTCTCTCCAGCACCTATAATTTGGGATAAATGCAATACCATATTATACCATATACATATAATATATAAAGTGAACATCTGGTCTGATCCTAAGGCATACCCTCACCTTTTGCTGGGTACTAGCTAGTTCTGTCAAAATCTACCATCCTTTCACATCAACTGACAGTGTGTCCTAGAACCCCTGTTTCATCCACAGAAAGATTAATAATGGTGTGCCAGCTGTTTTCCAGAGAGGTTCACCTATTATTATCAGCCTTAATAATCTCACTCAAGGCACAAATGACCAGGCTCAAATTATCCTACCTTGGACACATTGTAAGAAGACCTAGCTCTTGGAAAAGCTCTAATTGTTGGGAAAGGTGGAAGGAAAAAAAAGATGATGACCAGCAGCAAGGTGGATGGACTCAGTTACAATGGTGATGGATACACCATTGGAAGACCTGAAGAACTAGGCTGGGAACAGATTCTCCTGGAAAAAAATTATCTGTATGGTTGCTAAGAGTTGACACCAACTTGATGGCACATAATCAATCAATCAATCTTAATTATGAAGTTTCAACAAAGCCCCAACTTTCCCCACAGTTTTAAAACTACAGAACTAAATAAATACATCAATAACTTCAGCTTCCAAAGACAGATTGGTGATAAATGTTGTGGTTAAGATATCCAAGAGCTCTAGGAAGATTGGTGAGTTTTTTCTTCTATGGGAAATATTTTCTTTACAAAGAAATGCACCCCCCCCAAAAAAAAATAGTGGAACATAAAAACAGTACAGGGAAAAAAAAAAAAATACAGGTAAGTCACTGCTCCTTCTCCCAAGAACTCGTCCTCCCTTATAGTCCCCAAAGCAACATTATCTGCAAAAAAATATCATTCTGAAAGAAGAATTAAGCGAAGCAAAGCAAGGCATACCACTTGCATGCGTTTATGATGCACAAATCATTCTGAGTATGGAGTTCTGGAGAAGGCTAACTGTAGTGCTTGGGAGTTGTGATGCTGCTTCACCTCAGTTCTTAGAATTGAAGGATGTTCCATTTCTGTTGTTTACCAAGACCAAATGAGCAAACAAAAAACTTACATTTTCAATAATTGGAAGAACGGAAATTTTGCTTGGCTTTTTAAGTTAATTTCTGGATGCTGAACTTTGCACCCAATCCTATGTTTGCACAGCAAATCCAGTATTATGCTAGCCATGTACAGGCTTGGCTATTGGGTGGTCCTGACCCCCAATGGATCTTTAGCTATAATTCTGCAAGATGGAGCTTATGCCAAACATCCTTTGCCACTTTTAACAATTCAGACCACTTGCCTAAGCTGAACTTGACCTAAAATGGGTAACTGGTTGGCCTATGACGCAGATACCTCAGCATTTTCAGCCCCAAAGTAGAAATAGAGGAGAAATGCTTCTTCACCATTTGCTCATGAGAAATTTGTGGTCCTCTGACTACAACTGGGACATTTTCCAATGCCTTGAGTACATGATTTAACACATTACTTAGGCAATTTACCGAGGTAATCAGAGGGAAAAAAAATCTGAATAAATCACTAATGTCTCAAAATATAGTTACATATAGAGAATATACGGAGTGGTTAATTTTCAGGCAAAAATATTAAAGGCTTTGCAGCTGGCCCAGAAAAATTTCTCTCTTACTAAAGTATAAACTGTCACTTTTAAATGCTCTTCTGATTCTGCCTGGTCAATCAGTAGGGGGGGGGGAGTTTTATTATTGTGTTATCTGAAATTATAAGTTATAACTGAAGGTCTCTCTCATTTATTATGGATTGTGGAAATTTCAGGGTTAGCACATTTTTGTTCTGTAATGTTTTCCGGTTATTTAGTCTTCAGCAAGATGACCACAGTTTGAATCTCAGTTGCAGACTTTGAAAGAGCCATTCAGATATCCAGAATCTAAGATTGCTGTCTAAAGGGACCCACACATACCCTGGATTGTATTGTGCAATTTTTCATTCCATTCCCGTGGAGGAAGTGATTACATCAGAATACGGTTTTAGTTGCAGATGGATTCTCTTTCCTGCTTTTCAAGCAAGCTGGCTGCTGCAGCAGTATTTTCCCTTTTTAACCATCCATTCTATTTACAAATTACTATTATTATCAAACAGGAATATATCTTCATTTGTTTCTTCTTTTTTGGCAGACCATTGCTGACTATAACTTGACCCAAGAGACAGGCACCCAAAAGCAGTCTGTGTTCAGTTTCTCCAGTATGGTTTTCAGTTGGCTGCAGGCACTGTGGAGATCTTCCTTCACCAGGACAGTATCAATCAAGTGGCCGTATTGTTCCTCAATGAAGGCTGCTGAGTTCACCATCTCTTGCTGTTCCTCATCCTGCAAAATGAAACAAAGAGACAATAGGAAATGACTCTTGGGGCCTTTCAGGGCTAGTTCTTTAAAAATGGTTTTGAGCTGCAATATCCCTTTGGTACTTCCTAAGAAAAAGACGTCCCACTGGGTAATTCTGCTGCAGAAAGCAGATTTAGTTAGGAAAATCTAGTAAAAAGGCTGAATATACTGAGGTCCAGGTATAATAATTCAAGGCATTTTTCTTTAGTTATATATTTATTTGCCAGCCACTTAAGAATTCACTAAATATACCATCGGCTGGAACCAAACCTAGTCACAGTTAAGAGAGGTTCATGGAAATCAAGGGCATTTAAGTCACGATTGATTGATGTCCCACTGATTACAACCGATTTATTCTCTGCACGAATACCAGGTTCACCTATTACCCTAAGCTATTATGAGATTTGTTTGGTTTGCATTTAATGTGTTGTATGAATCCAGTCACTGTGATTTGTAAATTAGGTTTATGGCTTAGGGCAGTATGCAAATTCACCAAACTGTGATTTATTAAAACCGTAACTTAAATAAACCATGTCTTAGTTCAATGAGTGCATATAATACAAATCTGGATCTAATCACATGAGTATAATCTTCCAACAACAAAGACTTCTGTGGAATTGCATTCTAAACAACCATGGGGAACACCATAGATAGTCAGAGGCATCCGTGGGGTGCGTGCAACAAAATCTGCAAGGTGAAGAGTGTGGCATCAAGATCCAAATCCCACCCCTTTTGTATGTGCATACTGCCACATGTACAAAAGGTCTGGAGCTTGGATTATGACACTGTGCCCACCATCCTGCAGATTTTGACTCCCACCATGCAAAATGTTGCTGGAGATAGTCTAAAAACAAATATCAGAATGCATAAAGCAAAGGCAACAGGAGAAAGAAAAGGAGAATCCAAGGAGAATCCGATGAAGTAAATAATATTAGAAAGGAGATGAAAAACGGGCGGTCCCACTCACTTTGGTCTCTGCCGAGCTACCGCATCCTTCAGGCCCATTTCTGGTACACACTCCCCAGAAGTGAAGACAGCCCCCAGCAGAGGTAAATGTTGCCCATCCCATTTCAGGTTCCACATGTGAAACCATCCGTTCAATATGAAGTACTTACAAGCGGGACAAAGATTTCCTCTGTCAGCAGAGAGGCTGGTGAGTTCTTTTTCTTTTCAGAGACAAGAGGCTTTACAAAGACAACATATGGCTTGAACTCTGCTGTCCTTAAGTGCTTCACTGCCTGGAAGCAGAAATATGCAAAATAGAGGTCTGTGGCTGCAATATCTTAAAGGAGAGAAATTGTCAAAACTAGTCACATTTCTCTCAATTTGAGGGCCTGACGGAATCTTGAAGTTTGTTGTAGTATTGCTTTATAATACAACAGTAAATACAATAAAAATGACACTCATTGATAAACAGGACTGAAAATATACAGCAGGATATACAAGACTATTAATTAATACAATTTAACAATCAATCAATCAATTTTATTACAGTCATAGACCAGTACAACTAAAAATACACAAACCTATCTAATTAAAAATTCTTAGATATAATAATAACAAATAAAATCTATATCATAATTATAATTTGGCCGCCTATCATTTATATATGAAGTCAAGAGGCCTATACCGTAGTGTATTATTATTCCTTCAATTATGATATCCTACAATTATTAATTGTTAACTATAATAATACAATTTAACAATACCTGGGAGAATAGCCTAGTGCTGACAAAACATCTTTTGAAACCATCTGAAGTATTTTTAATTGTTAAAATTTAACAGTTAAGTGGCTAATTGGTGAACAGATAGAAAACCATACTACCTGCATGAAAATGTGCCCAGTCCCGCACCTCCAATCAAATGCACCAGTTATTAAAAGTAAGAGAAGATTAACATGGAAAGGAAGATAATGTTCCTTATGTTAGGTGATAGGCTTCTGTGCAAGTGCAAAGTAGAACCTGAGACAGTATAGGTGTTATTTCTTTATATATATTACTCCAAGACACATCTGAAAGTAACACAGCCTGTTTCTATAAGGAAGTTAATTTATAATGCCTCTGTTAGTCGTCATTGTTCTTGCTACACATGGCTAATTTCTTCCTGAAAGGCCATATGTTGTCCATGGATACGGTAGCCCCTTAACTGAAAGGCAATTCTGGAGGACAGATTTTTTTAAAAAAATGTTAATTTACCTCAGGCACAACATCCACAAGGCAAACTTTATTTTTAGACATGACAGACTGTATCGCCTCCAGGCTCGTCCCATACAGATTCTCCTTATACTCTCCATGTTCTACAAACCTGAAAATAGTGAGGGGATTAAGTGAGAAAAAGCAAAACAGAACACCAACCTCAAAAGCGAGCGCAGCACGCAAATGTGCCAAATGTTTGTTATAGCGTAAATTTGTTTACTTTGGGTTTTTTTTCTTTTCTATTTTTAATAGTTTGCTACAGGCAACAAGATTTAAAAGGGACGGCTGTTTTTGAACATTTCACTTTCATCAAGGAAAGGACAAATGCTTAAAATGCAAAAATCTTACACCTAGAGACATCTACTCAGTTTCCCAAGCACCACACAAATACTACAGTATCATGAAGTCAAAACGAATGCAAAACTAATCTCAGATCTGTGGAGCACTAGTGGGTGGAAGGGCCTTTGAACATTCTCAGTCTACGGCACTGCTCAAACCCTAAAGCAGTGATCCCCGGCTCTCTGGATATGGTGCAACTTCAAATCCCAGAATCTAGTTAACACATCATGCTGGCTGGGAACTTAGGGGGTGCAATCCCAGCATATCTGGAGGTCCCCCCAAAAGAAGCATGGCACATGGCATTCACATCTTCAATTTCTTGTCCTAAGGGGCTTGTTCTGAGCTTCTCCCCCTTCCCCTTCTGAGCAAAGGTAAGTTCATTGCCCTCAATGCCAGAAGAGATCTTGGATCGCCACAGAACACAGTTCTATTTTGTGGAGCCTCGAGGACAGAAAAAGTAGTAACTGGCAGAAAAGCAGCACAGAAATGCATACAATGAATACATTATAAATAAATAAACAAACTCAGCCTTAGTGAGATCTCTCTTTGGTTCCACCCCAATGTGGAGGAGAAAACAGTCCAGACAAAGCTTCCCCATTATGGTAGCCCCAAACTGAGATAAAATATGCTTGGCAAAGTTCTTATACCCAGGCAGTTAAAGTCTCCATCAGCAAAGGAGAGCTATTCTACTTAGATTCCCAGAGTATACATGGCATGAATCAGGCCTCCGGCTTAACATGAGAAGGGACACGCCTTCCATTTCCCCCAGTATCCCAGAGCAAAGCTTACTTGTTGTGCTGCACGTCAATCTCAAATGACTGTTTTGAAACAAAGTTGTATTCCACACCCTCCTTTTCATGACTCTTCTTGGTCCTTGTGGTATCTGGAAGAGAGGGGAGGCCAAGGTCAGAGGATGTCACTGAAGAACATTTTGCTTTGCATGGCAAAGTGACCAGGGCTAGCAGTGACACGGGTGACAAAATGAGGCAAATCAGAAGTAAAAGAAAAGTTACAGTATAAGAATCAGGACTGTTGTCGGAAAGATTTCTCCAACTCATCTCAGAACATCTCTGACTGAGATGATCCAGAGAAGGGATATATCTCTTGTGCCTGCTATAGTGCCACATGATTCATTTTCCCCACAGTTTCTAAGGACAGTAATTCTCAGAGGAAAAAGAATAATCTAAGAAAAGAAGCACTCAGGATGGTGCTTCGCCATGCCTCTCACCCAGGCCTCTGGTAATTTTGTAGATGTGACATATCATCTGTGCGTCCCCCAGCAGAACATCAGTGGTGTTACAATAGAGCAGTGATTCTCAACCTTTTTGAAGCTGCCGCCCCCCTAAGGAGCGCACTTACCTAGACGACTGGCCAAATAAACAATGAAAGTAAACTGAAACTGAGGGAAAAAACAGAAATGAAGCA